TTTCCTCCCCAAAAGCAAAGGTTGCCGCCTGCCTGCAGCCCTGGGCTGTCAGACGTGTGATGGCGGGTCTGGTTTTCGTTGGTGGATTATCCTCATTAATCACAATGTCTATTTGAAACAGCTGCCACAAACGTCCCTGCGCTGCGCAGTGGAAAAATTCCAAGTGCTTGTATTTTCCTTGTAAGCCAGCGCGACATGCTCGGAGCATTTGTTTCGTATTACGGCGCTGCCCAACGCCGTGCGCCGCTGTCCTGGGGTGATGGGGGAGCGCCTGTGACGGGAGGCGAGCGGCAGGCCCGGCCCGCGGCCATGGCAGAGCCTGGCCCTCCTTTCAGCAGACGGACAAGGAAATCACAGGGAGCTTGTTCTTTGGGGCTGGAATCACAGAGTGTGGGGGAATTTTGCAGCATTTGCACAACTGAGGCAAACCTCTGCTTCTGCAGAGCTGAGTAGGAGTCGGCAATGAAATGACCCCTTATCGCTGTTTCATTCTGCTGCTCAGAATGGAAGTGCTGGGAAAAGAAACCCTCCCTGAGTGGTATCATGTTAGTGCCCAAGATTGGGCCTAATCCATGGATGGATGGAAGGGCTGGTAGTTAAATGAAAATTAAGAAAGGCAAACAAGACGTTTCTGCAGCACAGCCCCCAGATCCAGGTGCAAACGTCCCAGGGTTTTGCAAGGGCAGTAGAGCTGATCTCGGTTCTTCACATCATGCCCACGGCAGATCATGCCGAACCAGCAGGCGCTGGGAGGAGCAGCTGCTTTCTGGTCCTTTCCCAGCCTGGCCTCCCCGAGGTCTCTGGAAAGGCCCCGTGTCCCCATGGGGATGTCACTGACGACTTGTCCGCCTTGCTAATAGGGCAGCAGAGAGCCAACACAGGCTGTGCACGGAATCTTTTCTTTAATTTCTTTTTCCCAAGCCTGTAAAATCCAAACCCTCCCACACTCATCATGCATGAAACGGCTCGAATCATGCCAGCCTGAGCTGTGCTTTCCATTGCTTTAAAGTTATTTCAGTGCCCTGGGTAGCTTTAAGAGCTCATAACAGTTCAGTCAAAAATTAAAATGAAGTCTCGTTAAAATACATTCACAATAGGCGGAAAAAAAGGCCTCAGAATGTGTTTTTCTAAAGTATTTTTTCTCCTGATTCAGCACTAATCTCTCTGAGTTAAACTTCCTTTCTCCCATCTAGCCAAGTCCAAAGCCAGTTTTGATTTGCTTCCAGATGCGTTTTCTGAACAATACTCGAGGTTTCCGAGTTTGCCATGTTATCTGCAGCCCTGCTTGGCAGCCCTCCTTTCCTCTCTTTGAAATGCACGGCCTGATTAGCACTTCGGCAGCTTCCCATCACGTCCCACGGATTCTGAGGCGAGGAGCCAAGAAGACGGACCAAAGCAGCAGCGCGCGGGCCGGGCGCTGCCGCCGGCTTCCTGCGCAGCGCTGTGCAGGCTGCGGGACTCCCATTTTGGGGGCTTTCGGCTCCCCTTGCTCCCCCGGCACGCTTGTGTTCATGGGAAGGTGCCACGGGCAGTCCCACCCCTGCCCCGTGTTGGTTTCAAGCAACAGGAGCCCCTGTAGCAGCAGGGCTCATGCAGCTTGTCCTGTTTTATGGCCATGGGTCGCAGGCCACCAGCATCTCTGTGCGGGTTGAGCTTGTGGCAGGACCCAGGCAGCATCAGTGCCTCCGCACGAGGGCCCAGGGGGCCGGTTTCCCAGCGCGGCGCTGGGTTGAGCCGGGTTCGGCCCTGCTCTGTGTTTGGCACAAGGCTCCCAGCGCAGCGGCGTCGCCGGCGCTCCGTGCGGAGGGTTCGCTCGGCAGCACGCGCAATCCTCACCGTACCCCAGCAGTGCAATCGGAGCAGGCCAGCGCAGCCCTGCCCCAGCGCTCCTAATCCTGCCTCTCCTGCAGAAACCGACTTTTCTCTGTCTCGGTCTGTTTCTCGTGCTCCTCATCTCCTATCCCTGGAGCAGCCTTCATGTGTTCCTCTGCTTTCTGGGAATTGGGCCTGTTTCCATCCCTGGGAGCAGCAGTTCTGTTGCTTGCCCAGGAGGAATCGCGGGCAGCCGATGACCCCGGCAGAGGGGCCAGCAACTTCCCTGCGCCCACAAGGAAAGTTGCCCTTGGACAACTAAGCATGTGCTCCATGGCACAGATGGTGTGTGCCCACCTACAGCCGCACGTTAGTGTCTTAATGTCAACTGCACTGAATGCAGCCAGATCAAAATTGACATCAGACTAATTGCTTGAGCAATTATAAGGCAATTAGAATAAAAGAATCACCAAGTCTTAATTAAGAAGCAGATTGAACAGGATTTAGCAGCTCTTAGCTGAGAAATATCAAAATCATGCAATATCTGTTGTCTCAAGCAGGATTTCAGATGGCAGCGATGTTTGTGCAGGGATGTGTGTGATGCTCAAAGAATACAGAAATGTGAAATAATTTACACTTGCCTCATTTGAAGGAAATTACACATGAACATTAGGGAGAATGGAATGTACTCCAGTACAAAAAGTTTCTTAAGAAAATAGCTTATATTTTACTAGCAATTAGTGTAACAGATGTAAGTGGATCAAAAAATCTGACGCAGATCCATGTAGCTGAACTGCAGCACAAAGAGCTGGTCTTTGTGTTATTATTATTTTTATTGCAGCAGTGCCACAGTTCACCCCCGTGCTGTACAACGAAGCTTGATAGATACAGGAGCTAAGTGGCTTATGCTTGTTGCTTGGGAACGGCTCGGCCGGTCCTGCCTGTTTGCTGGATGAGCTGCAGCACGCTGGGAACGTGATGCTAGACCCTATGGAAGGTGGTGCCGGGTGCTATGGAAGGCGATGCTAGACCTTATGGAGGGTGATGCCAGGCCCTGTGGAAGGTGATGCTGCAGGAGCTGCAGCTGGCCCCGAGGGCTCAGCCAGTGCCCTCGGTGCAGAGGGGCACGTTGCAGTGTCCATTCTGCTGCGTTGCCGTCCCGATCCTGCTTGCTCGCTTGACTTTCCTTCCTTGTCCACAGGAGACAGTCGGAGAGCCCTTCTTCCTCCTGATCTGTGCCATCAAACAGCAAATTAACAAGGGCTCCATCGACGCCATCACGGGGAAGGCCAGGTACACGCTCAACGAGGAGTGGCTCCTGAGGGAGAACATCGAGGCGAAGCCCCGGGTGAGTGCGGCCCCCGCGCCGCCGTCCCCACGCACCAGCTGCGGACGCACGATTCGGTGCCTACGTGGGCACCGTGCCAGCGCCGCCGCGTGCGTCGGCTCCCTAACAAGGCTCCTAACGCTGCCCTTGTTCCTGCTGCCGTCCTGCGGTGGGGCATCCAGCGTCGATTAGGGATGGAGGGAGGTAAACAGGATTGCTGTGCAATGTTCAGAGTGTTAAACAGCTTTGCGGTTCCTGGCTGGTCAGCTGTTCATTGCGGGTGTAAACTTGAGGTGTGGGTGAGACTCGGCACAGAGTGCTCGGAAACGGTGCTGAAAAGCGATCCCATCAGTGCCTCCTGCGGGGATAGGCCAGGCAACAGTTGTACATGGGAAGGACCCTGTTCCCTTCGGTGTCTGACACGGGATTCAGCAGGCACCTTTCCAGAGCCTGGGTCAAATTCTGTTTTCAATTACACGGCATAAATCTGGAGCAGCATCGCTGGAACCAGCGAGCTCCCCCAGAGCAGGTCTGAGCTCCACGTCCTCTGCGTATCCCTCCTACCAACTGACCTGTAAATTTACAGCGCAGCCGAGGGGGGTTAGCAGCGGGGCGCAAAGCATTAGCTTTCTCGCAGAAATGGTATCTTCATAACTCCGAGCAGGGGAAGTGCAGCTGCTTCCTGCTTTTTGCGGGAGGAGAAGCAGAAGTGCGAGCGGGCTGTGCTGTAGGAGAGCTCGTGCCAGCTCGCCAGAGCTCCCCAAACTGCTGGTGCCTGAGCCTGTGCTGTAAAAACCAGCTGCTCCTTTTACCCTGTAAAACATCCCCTTCTTCTAATGCTGCAAAGAAAATCAGGCTTCAGGTGTGCCTTGACGTTGTTCTCCTCCCCCAGGATGCGGATTGTGCGTCTTTCTCACTGGTACTTAAGAGTGGTATTTGCAAAGGAAACCTCTAGGCTCCAAGGGTCATTCCCGCGTTCACCGGGTTTCCTCCTAGGAGGTGACTGTGTTTAGACAGACGCGATGATCTTCCTGCAGCCTGGAAGTCTCCTGACCTAGGCTGGCAGGTCAGTGCTGTGGTGATTTCAGGATCTCTGTTTCATTCACAAATAAATGAAGGCCCAAGGTTTTACCCTGAGACTCACTGCACGCAAGGAAGGGGAGGACAAAAGCAACGTTGTGGCTGTTGGAGAATGTTTAGGGCCGCCAGGGTGGGAGGGAAGAACTCTGCTTGTAGCACCGGGGTCTGTGCAGGAGGAGACACCTGGACGCCCGTTCCTCCCCACCCGCCCAAGGGGGGCAGCTCCCAAAGGAGCAGAGCGGGGTCCTGCCAGGAGGAGTTGCCCTCGTTGCCCCGCAGCTCTGCTGTGACCGCAGGAACGGCTGGGCACCCCGAGCACCCCGAGGGCTGAGCCGCAGCCTGGAGCCTCCTGCAGCCAAATGCCCGGCTACGGTCTTGGACAGATCCCTGAATACCACTGGCAGGGCACTCCAGGATTGCACCAGGCCCTACAGCGGCATGGTTAAGGCTTGCTTAAACAAAGGAGTCAGCCCATTGCACCAAGCAAGGGCCGAAGAGTGCCCCATCCGTCACCGGCTGGAGCCTCGGAGGTGAGGACATGGCTGGGTTGTGGAGACTGAGGTCTCCTCCTGCCCTTGGAGGTGGTCTCTGCAGCCAGGGCCAAGGCCCATTAGCAAGGCGGCGTGAGAGAAGGCTGCAGCGTTGCTCCCTGCGCTCTCCAGCTCTGTGAATAAGTAGGGGCCTTCGGTCTCCTGGGGCTATAAATCAGCCCCGTTCCCTAGCAGTAGAGCTCAGAAGAGCGCATTTGTTCAGCACGATTTCCAGCAGCACAAGGCCAGCATTACCAATGGGAGCTGTGCATGCCCTTGAGCCTCTGTCCGTCCTTGGAGCTGCAGACTGCGGCGGATCCTTCTCACCTCTCACTTAACTCAGCCTCTCCCTGCAGAACCTCAACGTCTCTTTCCAAGGCTGCGGGATGGATTCCTTGAGTGTAAGGGCCATGGACACGGACACGCTCAGCCAAGTGAAGGAGAAGATTCTGGAGGCCTTTTGCAAGAACGTCCCGTACTCCCAGTGGCCAAGGGTGGAAGATGTTGATCTTGGTAAGGGCTGGTTTCGTTAGACAGGGCGTTCTTACACCCAGGATGAAGGAGTGCAGGTTGCACGGTGGTTCAGGAAGGGGCTGTTAGCTGAAGCAGGCTGCTGCGAGGGCTCGCCTCCGGACAGACTTTTCCTGGGAATGGTCTCTGAGGAGGAGGGCAGGACCAAATCTTCATGGTCTGGGTGCTGTAGGAAACCATGTTACCCCTCGCTCTGCTGGGGCAGGTCATGGTGGGACAGGGATGGAGGGAGAGGTGTGTCCTGTCACGCCACTCCAAGCAGGGACCCCTGTCCCCTCTTCCAGCTAGACCAGCCCTAGCCCAGGAGCTCCAGTCTCTGGGGTCGACCCTGGAAGTGCTGCGGGCCATTGGAAAAGCCTCTGCTCTTAGTGCAGGGGCTGTGAATTTGGACTCTGCAGCCCTGCGCGGGGGGCTCCGTGCCCTCTTCGTGCCCGTTGTCACCTTCTCCCTTCTCTGTGCAGAGTGGTTTGCCACGAGCACCGACAGCTACATCCTGCGGGACCTGGACGACACCTCCGTGGTGGAGGATGGCAGGAAGAAGCTCAACACACTGGCGCACTACAAGGTAACCCTGCGGCGGGCAGACCCCGCTGCCTTGGGCTGCCCTCCGAAGCACGGCCGTCGGGCGCGAGTGGAGGCTGCCATGGCACCACGGGCACCTCTGCGGAATAGACATCTGCCCTGTCGAGAAGCTCGTTAGTGTTGCAACACAGTGAAACTAATTAAATTCTCTTCATGCAAAACAAGTTATTCTGCACAACAGAAAGAGGGAAAAAAGCTCCTATTCCCAGTGGCCACCAGCCTGGCTGATCAGTATCACACTCCTCTTGATTTTTTCCCCATTCCGGCTAAAATTATGGCAAAAGCGTCACTGCCTCCCTTGGGAGCAGACACTGGGGATGCTGAGGCCAAGGCTGGTGGACAAATGTGGAGAGTCAGAGTGTATTCTTGTCTGCTGTTCACTTACAGTTAAATGAAACTGGAATATTTTATTTGATTTCCACATTCCCTGGTAAACGTAATCCTCGCTGCTCTGCAACAGTGCCTGGAAAACCAGAGATGGAGCCGGGTGCTTGTTGATATTGTTATGAGAAGGAAGCAGAGCCTCAAGTGCGGTGCTGGGTCTGCTGAGCTGAGAGCCAGAGATGCAGATCAAACACATGGTGCCCAGCGTGGCTGGTTTGGCTTCCTGTCCTTTCCAGCGAACGGCATCTCTGCAGCACAGCAGCATCACTTTTCTTTCAGTAGTCCAGTGTCAACATACAAATTTCCCTGCGATATGTGCCTGATTCTCCTAGTGTTTGAGAAGCTCCTCGTGTTGTTTGTGCACCCAAAGCTCCTCATGCTGCATGTGCAGACAGGCAGTGCTGCTGTCGCCGTCACCGCCGGGACAGGGGCAGCGCCCGCGCTGGTGGTGCCAGCGGTGCCGCCGCTCCGTGTGGAGCCCCTCTCGCCCTGCCGCACAGCAGGGCGCCCGCGTCCTGCGTCCCGCGCCTGAGCCGCTGCCGCCCGTGTCCTTACTGTGCCTGTCACCCGCAGATCCCCGAGGGAGCGTCGCTGGCCATGAGCTTGCTGGACAAGAAGGACACCACGCTGAGCCGAGGTGAGAGCGCCTGGCGCGGCAGGACGCGCTGCGGGCGCCTGGGAGGCCGAGGGCCGGGCGCCTTCGGGCAGAGCTTGGCACGGCTCACGCTGCCCTTGTGCCTGGGGGATGTGAGCGCATGGCACTGCGAGGAAAAGCAGGTTTTTGTGGCCATATCTGCAAGGTTATCTACCGCTATACGTCAGACTGTGCGGAGTCACAAGCCAACACAGACAAAAATTCACGTTTCAATAGTGAGTCAAAGCCCTGTCTCTCAGTTGGTGAGACAGAAATAGGGCTCCCCTGGTGTCCAAAGCGGAGCTCACAGCCTGTGGCAGGTCGCAGCACAGCTCTGCCACGCTGCACTGGGATGGGTAGAGAAGGTGTCCCCCGTTTCAAGAACAGACAACGAGTCCATGTCTGTCATGAGCCCTTTCCCCCAGGTTGGAGGTGCTGCTCGGCTGCCTCTCCCAGGTAGAGCTGGGGGCACCAGGACAAACGTGGCCAGGCACCATGGAGCGACCTGGCTGTAGGACAGGGCACCTGTGTGTCTGTGTGATGTCTCAGACTGCTCTTTTTCTTTACAGTGAAGGATTTGGATACCGAAAAATACTTCCATTTGGTGAGTGTCCTGCCTGGAAGCCACCAGGGTTAGTGGCTGTCCCACGCGGGGCTGCGGCGAGGCTCCTGTGGGAGCCTCCTCCGTGGGAAGCAGCTCCGTGGGAGGAGGGAGAGCGCGTCCGCGTGCAGAGGCTCTGCTCCGTCCCGCTCCTGCGGTCGTGGGCGGCAGCGTGGCCGGGAGGGCCCTGTAGGGATGGCAGGCGCGTGCCAGCGTGCGAGCACTGCCCCCGGGGGGTGACACTTGTCGTTCGCATTGTTCGGGTATTGAGATAATAACTGAACACACGTTACTGCTGGCAGCCATCAGGAGGGAGGAAAAGGGAGTTGTGATCCTAACCTCGGTGCCAGCACGTGCGCTCCGCGCGCCTCGCCGTTACGACGCCGCCAGCAGCTGTGCCACCCCGCGGGATCGGTGCTTGTTAGCGCCTCAGCGAGGCCCGAAGAGACACCCAAAGGGTATCTGTGGAAAAGCTTTAGCACGGTGGGACGCAACGAAAACTACCAGGATGGCAAAACAAGTGCTGCGGCCTGGCCTGGCTGGCAGCAGCGCCGGGAGCAGGAAGGGCTGCCCGGCCCCACAGCTGGTGGCCGTGGGGCATCCCTGGCCACGACACCCCGGCTCAGCGGGCGCGCTGCCCGTCCCCCCTCCACAGGGTTATTGGTTCCTGCTGTGCACCACTCCAAAAGCACGGAGTGCTGCATGCTGCTGAAAGCTGGAGGGAAAAAATGTGTTATGAGCAACAACAATATTTTACAGCTTTTTTTTTCCTATGCTAATGCTTCCCTTCCCGAACGGAGTAGGCGCACACTGCACGGATGCACGTGTGCACGGAGAGGGGCAGGAAGATGAACATGCGCATGTGAAGCGATGCCAGGATGCACTTAGCTGGCTTCCTAAACCACCAGAGAGTGGCAATTAACTGACTGGCCAATGGGATATTTATTTCTGTTTTTAAAAAAGGCCAGGGTGGGAATACCAGCTGGTTGTTGTTGCACTTTTTCCAAATGTAAAAAAAAGCATCTTTCTGTCTTGTCTTGTGCTTTGCTTCTGAGCACACCGGTGTGCTTCACGGAGATGAGAGAGCAAGCAGAGTGAAATGCAAAATGAGGGTGATCTAGATGAAAGAAGCAGTAAAGAGAGCAAGAGAAACAAATGTCAGGAAAAAAGAATGAGTAAATTACATTTTAAAGCCACATAGGGATGTATTTGTAACACAATAACTTATTTTTTAATTGAATTGCATATGCAACTGAATTTCTATAGCTCGAGGGAAACCCAATGTGGCAATTCCAGGACAGGAATTCTGAGTGTGTTTTGTTTTTTGCATTGACCCAGGTCCTCCCAACCGATGAATCCACCGAACATAAGAAGTCCCACAGACAGAGCCATAGGAAAAAAGTCCTCCCGGAGATCTACCTGACCCGGCTGCTCTCCACAAAGGTGAGGGGCACATAAAAGGAGCAGGACACCTCCCTTTGTGGCATTGAAGCCTTGGCTAGAAGGGTTAATCCAGGGGAGGCGCGTGGTAGGCCAGAGCTGAGCCTGGGTTTCCGCAGGGGGAGATTCCGCCGGGAGAGGAGTTGGGGACGCTCAGCCCTGGGAGCGGGAGGAATGTCTGCTCACTCTTAACTCAAATTTGAACTTCCCCGTCCTCTGAGCCTGTTCAGATCCAGCAGTTGGGCTCCGAGCCCATCTTTAATCCCAGCATGATGCCTTGCTGGAGCAGAGATCACAGGAGTGGCCAGCAGTCTCTAGGCTTCTTTGTATTTACTGTGCAGAACAATCACAGATGTGAGATCCTAGCAGTAGGAAAGAAAGCCTCCATGCCAAAAGAAATTAAACCCAAATGCAAGTTAATTATATCACTGCGCACAAACAAATCTTTCCCTCCCCGCTTCCCTCTTCCTGCCCCCTCCTGCAGGCAGCAAAGCACTTCCCTTGTGCAGACCAGTCAGAGCCCCCTTAGACCATGTTTCTGGGCTCCGGGGCGGATGCTTTTCCAGCTGACATTGTGTGCCTTGTCCCACAGGGCACACTGCAGAAGTTCCTGGACGACTTGTTCAAAGCCATTCTCAGCATCCGAGATGATAAGCCGCCCGTGGCCGTGAAGTATTTCTTTGACTTCCTGGAGGAGCAAGCAGAGAAAAGAGGGATCACAGACCCTGACACTCTGCACATCTGGAAGACCAACAGGTTTGGAAGCGAAGATGTCGTCTTGCTTGCTCGCTTTCCAGCTCTCAGGACCAGCAGCTGCAGAGCTTTGGTGGCCTGGATTGATCATTAGGTTGCTAAAAGAAGAAACCTAATGTCCCCGATGAGGGACTTGAGAAACGAGCAGTGGGGACCAAAAGATGAGAAAAATGCGGGTTTGGAGCGCTTTGAACAGGCACGGGGCTTAGCGAGCTCGGGGGAGCTGCAAGGAGCGGCAGCGGCAGATAAGGGCAGAACAAAGCGGCGCTGCTGTCAGTAACGCGAGCGAGGCGGGAAGGGGAAGGATGACGGGAGCAGCGGCACTGCTAGCTCCCAGCACCAAGGAATCCGAGGCAGATCCCAAAATCATGTCAGGCCTCAGAACATCACAGAGATTTTCAAATCAGCATATTTGGCTCCTTGCCACATGCTTTCTGGCTTCTCAGCCTTTGGGGGCATGTTTCAGACTTATCTCCATGCCCATGCTCGGACTCTGGGGCATTTGCAGGACCCTGTGTTGATACTGTAGCAACGTCCTGGCATCTGCAGCGCAGCCCAGGGAAGAGCCGGGGGTCTTGGGAAGGGGCAGGGGCCAGGGCGGGATGGAGAAGGGACAAAACCAGAAATTTGTCAGAGCACAGGGAGGTGGTGGGAGCGTGGCAAGACGCTTGGCTCTTGAGGCCACAGGGCTACTGCCCTTCCAGCCCATCGCGGGGCAGTGAACACGGGATTGTCCGGGACAGCCCACGGCTCTGACACGGAGCTACAAATGTGCCTAAGTGCCGTTGCCTGCAGCCGTAGAGCAGTCAGACCTGTAGGAGCCTCCACCCACGAGCAGGGGTGGTAGGAAGGGTAGCATGGCACTGAAACTGCTGTGGTCGAATGGGCACTGAAATAACTGGAGGAGAAAATGGTGAAAGAGAGCAGAAAAGATAACACGCAAAATGACTAACAGGGCCAGGCTCACCCATCGGAGCCAGGCAACCGCTAACAGCAGGGAAATGCCAAAGCACCTAGCAGCAAAAGGAAACAAAACTCCAAAACAGTGAGCACAGAAACTGTCTCAAAAGCCACTTTCAGGTGAAAGAGCTGGTCCCTGCTGGCACAAGGGCCAGCGCAGTGTGACGGCAGAGCAGGGACAGGCTGCACGGGAGGGCTCCTGGCTGTGCTTCAGGCTGCAAAAATGTCCCCTCAGAGTTAACGTGTGCTTGTGCCTCGAGCCAGCTGAGCAACCCGCATCGCCAGGCCGTGATCAAGTAACGGAGCCTGTCCTGGCATTTCCCTCATCTCTGTTCCTTCCTATCAATCTCTGCTGCATGTCTGCTCCTTGGCTCTCCTCTCACAACTCACTCGGTGTGTCTGGCTCGCTTCCTTTGCAGCCTACCGCTGAGGTTTTGGGTCAACATCCTGAAGAATCCCCAGTTTGTGTTCGACATTGACAAGACAGACCACATCGATGCCTGTCTCTCGGTGATAGCCCAGGCCTTCATCGACGCCTGCTCCCTATCCGATCTGCAGCTGGGCAAGGTACAGTGCACGAGGGCATCTAGGGAAGCCAGGCACAGACGAACGTCGTAGGGAGAGATTTCTGGAGGGCCAACAGCTCACCCCAAAGGAAGCCTGACGCTCATCAGATGCTCAGACTCGTAAGGTCTAGTTTTTGACTTGGTGAATCCTTCCCCCTCCCAGTTTTCTGGGTTTGACCTTAACATGTGCCCCTTCCCTGCCACAGCTAGCACTCAGAGTGGGAGCCCCTGGCCACAGCTGTGATGGGCAAAGGGCAGAAGCCTCCAGTCTGCAAAGCTCAGCGGATAGAGACCTAGTTGGTGACTTGTGTCATTGTCTTCTTGTCCCATCACTACCAAAAAGCTACCCCCAGCTTAGTCAGCACAACTTCTGCAGCACTTCCCCAGGAAGGAAGAGCTGTCCCCATAAGGAGTTGGGCTGGTTTGTCAGCAGACAAAGAGTCTCTATCGCTGGCCAGGTCACGGGGACAAACATACGGCATGGTGTGTGGATGGGTCTTTGCTCTGTACCGGGGCACAACACAGAGCGTGGGCAGGCGCCACGCAGCAGCTCAGCTCCCTCACACTGGGCTGTTTTCCTGGGACGGCATCAATCTAGGCATCCCCTGAAAAAAACAGTCATGTAAACTCCCAAGATAGAATGGAAAACCATGGTGTACCACTGACAGAAAGAACTAAAGTTTCACTTGCAGCTTTCTGCACAGTTCCCACCATGTGTCCTGCATCAGAAACCTGCAGCGCGGAGGAGACTCCTGCCTGGGCAGGTGACCGGGGCCGTCGTGCAGGGAGGCTCTGTTCCGCTCTCAGTGCGCGGCTCTGCCTCGGGCTGCTCTGTCCCAGCCGCAGGCAGCAGAGCAGCCCCTGGCAGAGCTGTGGCACCCGCAGCGGAGCGCTCGGAGCCGGGGCAGCCGCGCGCTGCCCATGGACACGTCTCCCTCGCACTGCGGTAGCTCTGGCCTGCACGTGAGGCCCTGAGGGCCGCGGCAGAGCCGCTTGGGAAGCTCCGCGCAGCCCTCGCCATCCTCCGAAGGCCTGGGCTGGCTCTGTCCTGCCCGTCAGCATCCCACGCACCTCCCACGTGTTTTAGTGTTCCCCCTCCAGCTTAGCTAAGCATGGTGGTGACATTTGAAACTTCCCAACATAAATAAGTTTTATTAGCAAACGCTATAAATCGTCCCCTGCCGCCCCCCGGCCCGGGGGCTGGCGGCCGCACAGTGTGTGACGTAGCGGCCACCCTGGGGAGAGGGGGTTGTCCCGCTGCCCGCATTCCTCCCCAGCGAGAGCAACAGGAAGCCTTTACTGGGAGAGATTAATACGAGAGGAAGATCTAATGAGCCCTTGATTTTTTGTTTGTTTGGGTTTGAGACTTTTTTTTTGCATCTGTTACGAAACACCTACAATTTGTCCTTGTCAAGCTGTGGATGAGGGGAAGAGGGGTCAGCCGGAGTCAGACAGCAGATGGAAACGTTTCTCAGGGATACAATAGCATAAGTGAAGGAATTGTTGAGTAATGTGGGAAGAATAAATCCTCAGCACAGAACTCGGTCTGCACATACACACAGTATATCACAGAATGTTTCCCAGCCCTGATTCCTCCACAGATCTCAGCGTGTTCAATTGTGTCACTCCCCATGCTGCAAATGGAGAGCCAAGTCAGAGCCCATGCACTTAGTGTGCAACTAGCAACAAACAGCCTCCTCTTTATAATACAGACCGGAAAACTCACGTTAAAAACTCACTAAAAAGGAGAGGTGGGATGGGTTTCTTGTGCGTTTCCAGAGAGAAGAGCTGCTCTAGGCCGGCTCCGCGGGCTGCGTGTCCCCGCGCCAGCTTGTCGCCGGGTTTGTCACGAGCCGCTGCGGGCTCTGGTGCTGCCGCCCGGCGCCCCGATCCCTGCGGCCTTGGCCACCGATGGCAGCAGAGCCTCCCGCTGGGCCGAGTCCTGCGGCGCTGCGTGGGCCCTGGAGCCCATCCGCAGTCCAAACCCCGCGGGCTGAAGGCGCTTCCCTCCTCTGGTCCTGATCAGGGAATGGTCCCTGCATCCATGGGCGGATCCCGCTCCTCTCGGTCCCAGGAGCCCAGGCTGTGCCCTGCAGGGTATGAGGCAAGGCCCGCAGGCGAGTTCATTCCCGGGGCGATGACGCCACTGGGGCAGAGGTACCAGGGGTTGGAATCACTCATGCCTCTGTTCGCAAGGCCTGCAAGAGGGGTTGTGCCTTTACTGGTATAACCTGAGAGCGTGGCAGGGAGGTTAAAACTGCTCTGCCCAAGTTGACATTAATCATGAGAACTCAGTATTTTCCCTTAATTACTTTGCACGCACTGAATATAGGCCAGACAGGCTGCATTAGCCAATGCAAAATAAATCAAAGTTACATTAAAAATCCAAGATCAACGTTTCAACTGACAAAGTTCAGTTTGCCTCCACTAAAGAGCTTTGTTCTTCAGCTTAAATCAAGCTGGCTGCTCGAGAGACCCAAGTAAATGCATGCAAGAGCCCATCACTTGCTATCAATTCCCCAGGCAGCCTTGGCACACCAGTGTGTTATCCAGCTCTCTCGTGCTCTTCAAGGGAGAGTCACCTGGCAACAAGCTGCTTCACCTGACCCAGTGCACATTTTTAGTCTGCCCTTGCTGCAAATTAAAACGTACTCACTTAGACAACCTTCACTTGCATTTAAGCTAGCAGGTTTGTGGCCCGTACGGGGGGGATCAGCAGCAGACAGTTGTGTGCAGAGAGGCAGCGCACGGTGCTAGCGCAGCAGCACCGCGCACCTGTGCGAGGAGCTCTGTCCTCAGCAGTTCTGTGCCTCACTGCCATTCCAGCACTGCTCTCTGGTTACAGCCAGGCTCAAAGATTTTTTAGCTGGTTCCTGACCCAGTTGTAGCTGAAGTCTGTGTTTGACAGCCAACACTTCAGGTTAAAAGGTTTTTCAGGCAGAAACAGGACACTGTCTAATTTCAGTTTCGCATCCTCACCGTAGGACTCCCCGACCAATAAACTATTGTATGCCAAGGAGATCCCGGAGTACAGGAAAATAGTGCAGCGATACTACAAGCAAATTCATGACATGCCGCCGCTCAGCGAGCAGGAGATGAACGCGCACCTGGCCGAGGAGTCGCGGGTAAGCGGCCGGCGGCGCCGCGGGCGCAGCTGGGGCCGGCAGGGCCGGAGCGAGGCAGCGCTCAGCTGCCACCCCGATACGCACTGCGAGGAAGAGACGAGAAAGGGCATTGCGCGTCAAACTAGCATAAACTTCATCTGACCTAATTCCAAGCATCTCTAATTACTGCCACGCCGCAGTAAACATCCACCAGTTAGCTTGAAACTAACCGGCTTTGGCACCGGTGGGAGGTTAATGCAGAACTCGGTGCCAGGGAGCCAGGCGGTTTGGAAGGGATCTCCACGGCCCCAGCTGCCAGGGCCGCTGCGGTACCAGCAGCCGGAGCGCGCAGCAGCCCCCGCACCCTGCCCGGCTGCGCCGCGGCCCGACCGGCGCCAGCGCTCCTCTGCCCTCCCCGCTCCTCCGAACGGCTTCGAGGGCCGGCGGGTGAGCAGCGCTAGTGAGGCCGCTCGTGGAAGGCTGGCTTTGAAAAAGCGAACACAGTCTCCGATGCAAATGCAGCTTCCTTACAGGACTCCAAAGCCCAGCTGTGTCATCCCAGCAGTAGCAAACACCCAGTCTAAACCTTTGGTTAATCTAGTTTAATCTGTGCTGCCGACTGGTCTTGAGCTCACCTGTTGCACCAGGCTGACCTGCCTCCCCTCTCTGTTCTGTCTTCCATAAAGAAATACCGGAACGAGTTCAACACCAACGTGGCCATGGCCGAGATATACAAGTATGCCAAGAGATACCGCTCCCAGGTAAGTGGGTTTGGTTATGCTCAGGCCATTGGATTACCTCCAGAGGGAATAATAAGATGAGTTTTGCAAGCAGGTAACCAGCTACCTGCATCCAGTCCCACAAAAGGGGATTTTTTTTTTTGTCTAATCCCATGTTCTTGTATACATGCACACATGGACATGCTCTGCTCTTCCTTCGTCAATGACTTACTAGAAGATAAGGTCACCTATTCCCAGCTGATTTTATCAGTGTTTCACTGTGCTGGTTAGTTTGAAGCCAGTCTGACCAATGTGTAAATCCCCGGGTGCTTTCGGGAAGGCAGAGCGCCCTGGTGCTGTCCTCACCCGAAAGGGCCCACCAGCCCCAACTGCTTCCTAGCGCCGCTGCGCCCCTGCAGCACAGGGCGCTGAGGAGCAGACTCAGTGCAGTGATTTGCATCATGCCTTCCCCATGCACCTTGGTGCCAGCCCAAAGCTCAGCTGGGCCCTAGAGCAACCGGCCGCACCAGGAGCTGCACTCGCCACGTGCGGAGCTCCGGAGCCGGCCCTGGTCTGGTGGGACCTGGGATTGGTAGGGCTGGGGGACACGGCCTCATGTACACCATCTCCTGCAGATAGTGACGGCGCTGGACAACAACCCCACGACGAAGCGCACGCAGCTCCAGCACAAGTTTGAGCAGGTGATTGCACTCATGGAAGACAATATCTACGAGTGCTGCAGCGAAGCCTAGGCTGGCTGCGGCCCTGGAAGTGACCTTGTGTACAGTGCACTGCCCTAGGGAACATGCCTTTGACTGCGGCTACACCTGGATTATGGCCTGCCAGGGTCACTCTGCAACCGGCCTGGTGGTGGGGTGGGCCTGGCCCCTGGCTGAAGGGCTCCCTCATGCAACGAGAAGCCCCGAGACACCTTTGTGAGCAGCTTGAAAACCCTCTGATCTGCACTGTGGCAGCCATAACTTATTTGCTGTTTCAAGCGAGAAATGGAGGCATGACACTTGTGGCAAACACAGTTAACCACTTCTTTCTAATCAGTTCCTGAGCAGTCAGTGAGCTGCCCGCATTCCTATTTCCAGAGGAGACTACTCCTGGACAAGGGACTGTGCTGCAGAAACTGCAAGAGTAGATGCAAAGCAGACGGGGAGCCTCAGGGAGGAACAGCACGGGCTGTCAAAGCAATGGCAGAGCTCCCTTCCACACTATCTGGCCACTATCTGCGCCTTTCCAACACCAGGGACTCTCTCAGCTGTTCACTATCTGCTGCATTCTGTGTATTTTTGTGCCTTTTATTTTTGTACTGTATGTGTAAACATAACCACTCCTCCAACCAAGACTCGGGCAGCACAGGGAGCTGGGGGCTGAGATGAAGCAGTTGCTTCCCCAGTAGCAGGGACTGTTGAAAGCACATTAGCCCCGCCGGGAACAGCCGCTCCCACGCCGGAGAGAGCGCGAGGCACTGGGCAGCGCTGCAGAGGCAGCTCCCCATGCCCGAGGGCCCCAGGTCTGTGTGTGCAGTGGACCCGGGTTGCGCTGGAGTTGGCCAAAACCCCCTAAGATGAGCCAGCTGGGCAGGGGAGGGAAGAGACCCTCCTGCTGCGCCTCCATTCCACGCTCAGTGCGTGTGCACGCAGCCTGCGCTGCACCAGTGCGACACAGGTCCCAAGAGCATGTGGGTCAGCTCCTGCTGCTGGGACGGAGCAGGAGGGAGCGGTGAGGCAGGTCCGCGGGCAGCACCTCCACACGCAGCGCAGCGCCCTCGAGCCCCAGCCCAGGCGCTGCTCGAGGGGCCACGCGCGGAGGGCGAGCGGGCAACGCGCTCCCCATGGGGCCGGCACCAGCACGCAGCACTGCTGCCAGCGGGTGCCAGGGCCCGCGGCCGCACCGCCGTCCCCCTGCCTCTGCGTACCAGCTCCCGGCCTGCTCCCCTGGCTGCTGGCATCTCCTCCTGCCTGGGCCAGGGGACCGGACACCTCCGAGCTTTCCTGGGTCACCCACGGGCCCTCTTCACACGCCAACACCACACGTGTGACACCAGAGCTCATACACAGGCCAAGGCAAGCTGCCCGCGAAGGCCCACCTGCAGGCACCACATTCAAACTGCCAAATGCAAGAAAAAGAGAAAAAAAAAACCACTATTACTACCTCACTCCAGGCAGGGTCTAAGGGGAGCCTCCATCACTCACCAGCTGGTAAGGATACAACCCAGCATCAGATGACTTTGGTCCTCCAAAGCTCCCCGCAGGCAGGTAGTCTCCATCCCATGGTTGTCAACAACGCCGCAAGCAGTTCTCAGAAATTGGGACACAGAAGTTGTGTGTGTATATAGATATCTATTTTAAACAAATGATAAACTTTATCCAGTACATTAAATGGGGGAGGGAAGAGGCTAAGGAGGGGAGGGCAAGGGGAGGAACAAATTTTTCTTTTTAATAGAGCTACAGGAGAAGTACATACACTGTGGAGGTTTCAGGTCTTTGCTGTGGGTGTGCTATTGGAATAGACATTTTACGAATGTAGCTGGGCTACATGTTATTTTGAAAGTAATTTCAAGAAAAATTCTTGATTTTTTTTTCTTCTTTTAGAAACTGTGAATAGCTGCCAGAGATATAGGCAGGCCCAGTACAGGGAAGGCAAAAAGGATTAAGGTGGTAGAGAAAGTTGAGCTTGGCTGGACGTGGTAGACAGGGCCATGGAGCATTTGCCCATGTTGTTAGGAGGGAAGGATATAGGCAAGGGGGCTGCAAGTGCATCTTGCCTCCAGGTGACGTGACTGGGCCATGGATTGGGCCTCTTGCTTTATTATTTAATTTTTTTTTTCCTTAAGCAGAAGCAAAATAAAATAAGTAGTTGCTCTGACCATTTCAAAGGAAAGGAAGCTTGAGGGTTCATAGAGCTGCTGGGAATCCCTGAGCCCTTTGTAACACATTTCAGACCTTTGACATGTGTTGTGGGTGTAGTGCCCTTACCTGCTGTGTCGTGGAAGTGGCAGACTCTCAGAAAAACCTATCTTTGTAATAAAACAAGGTGCTGAAGCTGTGTGCAGAGTCCTGGCGTGCATGACTGAAGGGTGCTCTGAGGGTGTGCAGCCCCATGGGGCTCATGAGTGTCATCCTCATGAGCACCACAAGTTGATGCTTAGCACAGCTAAGTCTAGTCATATAATGACTTGGCTCCTTCAAGCTAGGGAGGAAGCCTGCACATACAGCTAGCAAGGAGCAGGGCTCTTACCACAGTCTGCTGCGAGACACATCCACACCAGCGAGCTGCTCAGCCCTCAGGGTGTCAGAGGGCTGGTGAACCCTGCTCAGGTACTACAGCAGGTCACAGCCCAGCCCCAGGGGACACTAGTTTCAGTCCCATTAAAGATGCATCAGTAAGACCAACACGAAAGTTAAACAAGAAGTTAAGTTTGCTCAGCTGTTGCTTAAGCCCAGGAACAAGGCCAGAAGCCTCAAGGGCATCAGCAAGACCAGCTGAAGATTAGCAAAATCCTCTTCAGGCAGCGAGTTCAGCTTCCCCGCATTTCCTCCAGCCAGGAGGACTGCAACCCTTGGCATTACCAGGGTGACCTTCTGGAGGGTTCTGTTCTGCAAAGGCCAGGAGCAATTCAGGCATGTGAACCGTTACGTGGAAGTGTTCGTGCCTTGACCCGCAGGCACTTGGCATGGAGAATCAGCGGCCGCACTAGCATTGCAGAGCTCCACAGACACCCCAGACCCAAGAGCACCATCCCCAGTGGGGCACTGGCAACCCCAGCACTGGGGACCCCAACATGCAGCACAGTGTGGCCTGGCACAGCGTGGCCCAGCCTGCTGTCCCAGCTGGGCTGTAGCCCAGCTCAGGCAGCTGTTAGTGCAAGGACAGGGCCAGGTTCTCTGGGGACTGGAGGCAGTAGCCACCCAACTTGTATGAGAGTGAAACAGCTTTATTAGTAAAAGGTGAGCACACAGTTAAAACCCCTCCAGGGAGCAAAAACAACCAAGACCAATGTGGCCAGGCTCCCCCAGCCACTCTGGGGGCACTAAGCTGCCTTCTTGCCCGCAGCCTTGGGGGCATTTGCAGCCCCTCGCCCTCCCTTCTGCTCCCCGGGGCCTGCCGGCTTCCTGCCTTTGGCCTCCTTCTTGGGGGCAGCTGCACCAGGTGCTCGGCCTCTGCCTG